ATAATAACTAGGGAAAAAATCAGATTGCATCCATAATGAATCCACGTCAGAGGAAAGAGACAACAGAACCTAAGTCAAAACAATCATACATTACTGCACTAGGTTCTTCATATAATTTAAGAGATAAACATAAATTCTCAATATGCAACTTTTTCTTTGTGTCATTTTCAGTGCTTTAGAAGCTAAATGAAAAGGGTGAAGCTTCTTGGTTCTAAAAAATAAAAGGTTAACAGAGTTTTAACCACCAGTACAACATATTATATAGTCACTAGCTCACTCTGCAGAAGGTCTATTCGGCCAGGGAACTGAGTCACTCATCCATTGGTGTAGTCATCGCATTTATCACAGTAAGATCAGTTTTTACAGCTGGGAATTGGCATTCAGAATTTGTTTTTGTTTTTTTGAATGGTAACATAAGGTATTCAGAATTAGTTTTTAGAAAGAATCGGAGGTCAGTAAGTATATTGGTTGCATCATAAACTTCCCTCCACAATGTAGTAAATTCAAACTTCATACAATAATGCAGGTATATAAAATCCCTAAGAACTTCCAAGATAGTCAATTTAAATCAAGGTACCAACCACCATGACAACATTGTAACAAAGCCTTCTACTGAAATACTACTCTATCAACTCTCTGAAAAGAAACTAACCGCGAAATATATGCCGGAACTTCCATTCATTTCCATGAAGATCTTTACCAATCAACTCTTGCACAGGAGGCTGTTGCGAGTAATCCTACAAAAGAAAGATAAAACTTAAGTCAGTCAACACCTCAAGTAACCTCAAGTAAAAAGAAAAAGGGAAAAAATGCTGATGAGTGCAACTGATGGGACCTACAAGAGGAGGGAAAACTTTTTCTGCAGCACGTCGAGGGACAGAGAATCCACCATGGGTACTGGTATCGCTTGCAGTCAATGTTTTGCAGAAATAATTACTTGGTTGTTTACTTAGGGTCCCAAGTTCAGCTGGTAGAAGGCACACATCTTTTTGCTCTTGCTATGGAGAAATAGTCAATTAGCACTTACAAATAATTTTGAAACAAAACGAATGAATTGATAAATGTAACATACTGGAGTTAGTGGCTGCAGAGTCATTTGAGCATATACTTCATCAGTCTCAACATCTGCCTGTAATTTAGAAATTCTTCAATCTCTACCCACCGATGACACTCCAAAACATATGATTGTCACAACAAAGACAACGAATAGGGTCTAACTTACATCCATGGTCACATTGTGTAGCTGACAAATAAGTTGAGGTGGTAATCCAGGATAGCTAGGGATATGACCATTTATTTCCTTGTTTGTGGATGCCGCAACCTGTAAGACTTTCATAAAGATTAAGGTGCCAACCACTAGTCTACAAGCTACACAAACTAAAAAACCAGTACCAAGTATTTCAACCAACGTCATTTCACCAATAAATAAGAGAAGTTGTAGGAATCCAATGGATCATTCTATTCTTTGTTGCATCGAAAACTAGCCAAACAACATCTTAATTCCAAATAATGCACACTTGTATCAAGAGCAAGATCAAATCTAGGAAACAGCTAGATGAAAGAATCTCACAAATTAATAAAACAGAACTGTATCAACAACTTAATAATGTTTTTATCCATAACATAGCTCGGCTCTGTTCGCCAAGATGAATAATGTCACTGGAATTACTTGGTTCTCCAGATTTAGAAAGAAAGATTTATGTCCTACTCCTACTTCCGACACGTATGGGCAACAAAAATACATAAGCACAACATACCTGGAAGTGTAAACATAGTTAACCCCTTCAACTACAAGCTCAAAGACTCCAGAAGGCATGACTGACAGACATCAAAATTACAAAATAGCAGCATACCTCATGAGGCACAGGTTAAATTTAAAGGTTATTTATACCCATAGCTCACCATTAAATGAAAGGAAAAAAAAAGAAGTTTTAAGTTCAAATGGAGAATCACCATGAAGAACCAGAACATAAGAATTTACTACCAACCATGTCAAAGACCTATGCTTTAATTAACTTTATGAGTTTATGGCATAAACCAATTTCTGCCGCGGGGAATCTTAGTAGATCAGTTGGTTCTATCTTCCCTTCCTCTATCCCCATTTCATAAAAATATAAGTTCCACTACTAACCTGCTCACTATGCCCTTGAGGAAAATACACAACTCTGGTTCCTACATGTGGAAGAGAGACCAGTGGCCCTGCACAAGCATGCCACAGCTCTGAATTCAGGCTTTTCTTCTCCCCTGCTGCCATAATCAAACATCAAAAAATGTTCACTCCCAAGTTAAAAAATTAAAATTACTCACCATACATTACAAAAATACTTCAATTCAAGCTCAATAAACAAAAAATGAAAAATATTAACAAGGCAGAAACAAAACACACCTTCCTCAGGCTGAGAATTGAAGCCAGAAGTAGATACCTTCATTCCCTCAAATCAACAAACTCAAAAAAAGTTAAAAAGGAAAAGCCCCAAATATATATAAAAGAGCTAAAAGAAAGCTAAAGATGAAAACTTTAGCACTAGTCTGCCACCCCCCACCCCCACCCCACCCCCCACCCTAAACAAAAACCAAGAAGCAGGCAAACATATTTCTTATCCAACCCCACTTCCACAACTAAACACCACCAATGTCAGCTCCTTCATACTTGTCCTAGATCACTGAAAAAAAATCAAGAAAACACCCTTTTCTCCAAAGAAACTACAGAACCAACTAATTACATCAAAACTAAAACAGATCTTCAAATTCCCAAGTAAAATCTTGAAACCCTAAAGGAAAAAAGCACAGTAAATCAAGCAGCTTTTTTGGTACAGATCTTTCTTTCTCTTTTTTTTTTTCAGTGAGACTCTGTTCAAGTATTCAAAGCAGTAAAGAAAGAAAGAGGGTTCCTCAAAAGATTTGAAGGAAGATTATAGAAAGTGATAGATTGCTGAACTGTTAGCTCAATCTAGGGAAACTACTGGTTTAGTCTTTACTAGTAATAGTACTACTTGTATAATTTATTATTCCTACTTTATTGTAGTATTAATATATGAATTTACTCATTTTGTTGATCGACGAGTAATTGATGGGATGACTAACGGGGTTGGGGTTATTAGTTTCATTGTAGGAGAAGGTATCAAATATATAGGGGGCGGACGCAGAAGCAGTCATTGGCCTGGCTATTGTTTCATCAATTTACCGTAACAGAAAATCAACTCGTATCAATCAATCAAATTTGTTGAATAATTAATATTAATCATCTAGATTCTAATATTGAGAAATCTATTTTAATTTGCATGTTTACTACGTAAAGTATGATCTTGTTTGCAAAACATAAGAAGTAATCGACTCTATAGCTTCTTCAATAAACGCTGGTTTTTCGATCAAGTTTTGAATGACTTTCTAGTCAGATCGTTCCTGCGTTTCGGATATGAAGTCTCCTTCGAAGCTTTAGACAAAGGTGCTATTGAGATATTGGGCCCTTATGGTATCTCGTACACATTCCGACGACTGGCCGAGCGAGAGTTGTCATAACTTGTGTCAGAATGAACGACTTTGCAGGAGCCGATGACTACTATGATTTGACGAATTACATAACCACGAACGAGAAAGTGGCATGAGAGAAACCATATATTCGGAGAACGCAAACCTTTTTAACAATACAATGCTAAGGGTACTAGATGGACAGGAGTGCAGGCTAGACGCCAAGTACGGAGAGGTTCTTAACAAAACAAGAAATGTACCTATTGTTTTGATAGCAAATCAAATTCCAAGCAAAATGAGAAGTTATGGACCCATGCAGGAAAGGGTCATGAGGCTCAGGTTTAATTCAAGAATAGCCAACATAAACGAAGAAAGATTGATTTTAACCCTCAAAGGATGCATAGAAAGAAGAATAAAAAAAGACCAAAATCAAGGAAAGGAAGAAGAGATCAAATACAACCAGGAAACTGCAATAGTATTTGAAAAAAAAGAACAGAATGAAAAGCAGGGAACGTTTATATAATTCTTCCCCTGTATTTATGGCACTACACAACACTATAGCCTTTGTAGGCCGTTTGTAGCTATAAGCTTTAGGTATGTGTCACAATGTGACAGAGAAAAAAAGTTCCCTTGGAAGTTTTTGAGGTATCAAAGTGTGGAAAGAAGACTCTGTTAGTGAGTCTCCCTTTCATACTATTGCTTTCTCCATTTCCCATTTGATGCTATTTATCTGTTATCTCTAAATATCAAATATCGAATCATTGAATATATATAATTTTAGAATAAGATTATAATTTAATAAAAAAAATTATTGGTGGATAGTAACAATCATATTGACGGAGGTGATTGATGTTATAGTGACTGACGTGTGATGGTAACAGTTAATAGTATTGATGGTGATTAGAAGGTGGAGTTGGCTATTGCTGGTATTTGGTGGTGGTGTTTGAAATATGTGTAGTGATTGATGATAGTTATGATGGTGGAGATGTTTGGTGTTGTGGTGACTGATATGATAGTAATAACGATAATTGTGATGGTGAAATGGATCGGTGTTAGAAGTTGATATAGTGTTAGAAGAAATGATGTGCGAAAAATGTGTGACGGATAACAGTGATGTTGGTGGTAGTTGGTGTGGTGTTAATTGTGAGTAAGGTGATAGTTAGTAGTACTTAGTAGAGATTGGTTGCAACAGTGAGTGTGTTTGATAGAGGTGGTGACACTCATAGTGATGACTATGAATATAATTATAACGATGAAGGTGATAAATGTTTAGTGATTAACAGAGTGGCGTAAATAATTGGCTATGGTAAAGGGCCGTTAAAGTGGTTGTGATGACAAATGTAGTTGATAGTGGCGATTTATATTGGCCACAACAATTGTTATTGTGATAAGCAGAGGTGGCAGTCCGAGGGTGCTCAAGTCGTAGGAAAATTATGTTGTATATATTTAAAGAATATACATTAATAGTTGGACATCCTTGACAAAAGTTATGTTTTTGGCACAATGGTAATGAGTGTTTATTGAATGAAGGAGTTTCAGGTTTGAACCCGAAATATCACAATTTTTAAAAAAATATTGACAGCTACATACCATTATTCTTGGATACCCTTAATAAAATTTCTGACTCTGCCACTAAGAAGTGGTTATTGGTGATGGTCGGTGGTTGTGGACAAATAGATGGTGAAAATTATTCACACAAAATACATCTTAATGATATCGAAAAAAGACCTAGAATACCCTCAAACTATTGGAAATACTACAAAACTACCATTCATCTATCTATTAACTCCCAAACGTCTTTGTCATCCACTTATTGACTCCTAAATTTCCTTGTCATCCACATTTGAGTCAAATATTGACCACTTTTATAATTGATTATAATTTAAATAATTTTTTTTTAAAACCATCTATTGATTACAATATAATTATTTAAATTAATTTACAAATCCATCCATTACTGATTTACCTGATCAAAATTAACTAAAATCGACCCAAATTAACTACATCCATTGATTAAAACAAATACTCATTTCATTCTCAACATTTCGCTTCTTTTCCAGACCTATCTCCCAAATATATGTGTCTACGATCTCAAAAAAACTCTACCTAAAGATACTCATATATCACCATACATATGTGTATTCAGGTAGTATTTTTCGAGATCATATGCTACTATATTGGGGAAGAAGGTCGGAAGACAAAGTAAAATATTGAAAATAAAGTGTGTATTTGTTTTAATCGGCGGGTAACATAATTGACGATGGTACAGTTAATTTGGGTCGGGTGTAGTTAATATGGGTCAAGTACAATTAGTAATGGGTGGGTTAATAAATCAATTTAAATAATTGATTGTAATCAATAGATGATCGTCACATATTTTTAAAAGTTATTTAAATAATAATCCGTTATAAAAGTGTTCAATATTGAACCTAAATGTGGATGACAAGAGTATTTGAGCGATAGTAGGTGGATAACAAGGGTATTTGAGAGTCAATAAGTGAATAAATAGTAGTTGTATACCATTTTCTATAGTTTAAAAATATTTTAAGCTTATTTAGATATTTTTCATTCTAAAGCGTAACTGAGAATGAGGTTTATTTTTTACTTATAACAGATTTATATAGTTTAATTCTTTTAAAACAAATATATTGAACAAAAATAATGATAAGGTTTTCTGTTAAAATTGACTTTAGGCTACCGATCTTAATTAGCCACTCAGATACATCTCATTTGTCCCTTTCTAAGGTTTCTATCTTTTTTGCTCATTTGGTGATTCGAATACATAATCTCTTAGAATTGGAGGCAAGAGATACTCCGCCCAACTTCCTCTTATTCACCAATATACATTTATCGAATATCTGTCTAATCTTAGATTTATGTTATAAAATTTTATATTTAAATAAAACACTTTTTAATAAAAATAATTATATATATACAAGACTCTCGAACCAAAATCTCTCATTAAAAATTAAAAAAAAATCCTATCATTTCACCGTAATCTTTATTAATATACGAAATTATGAATAAAAAATGAATTTTGGTATCAACTAGGTTATATAACTTAGATACATGAATGTTAGCACATGAGGAGCTAAGGAGGAAAATGACTTGAATCTAACTTAGCTAGCGTTTGGCCATAGATTTCCAAATATTCTTGGCAAATATTATTTGAGTGAAAATTTGGGTGAAATTTCACCATGTGTTTGGCCATAAAATTTGGGAAATATATTTCACCTTTTTAGAAAAATATGATTTATACACACAAGTTTTAAAAACTATCAAAATTAACTAAAAGTTTGTATTATAAGTCAATGAATGTTCGTTACAACAATAACAAATAATGTCCATGACACTAAAGCAATGTGGTAATTTGGAGTGAGTGCAACAAGAATTATTTCATACATCGTGAAGTAGACAAAGTACATGACTTTGTTACCTAAAGCCAATTTTTAATAATTTTCATCAACAATCATATCATTATTTAATATTCACTACATATTTCATCACTATTTTGGTGTTCACGTAAAAAATGATGTAATACAACGCAAACAACTACTAGAGAGGGTGTTTTTGTAAAAGATAAAAGATTGGGGTAAAATTTTAATTTTTAAAATATCCCAAATAATGAGATTTGACCCAAATACTAGAAAAAACTAGTATTTGGAAATTTGGGATATTTGCCAAAAATATTTGTCAAATAATGACAAATTGTATGGACAAACATTATTTGCCAAATTTTTCCCAAATATTATTTGGAAAATTTATGGCCAAACGGGCCCTAGTGTTGCATGTGTGCACTCAAAAAGAATAATATTTTTTTAATCCTTGTTAGTTTGGACCAATAATGTAGAAGCATGTTTTAAATATATTTTTACTCTTTTAAGAAAAATATTTTTTATACATAAATTAATTTATTATCTGTAAAATTATATTGAGTATATTATTGTTAATGTTATTGTAAAATTCTTTTGCAACTATAAGTTATAAGAAAATGTGAATATTCATGTATTATTCCTTGTTGGTCTTAAAAAATGCAGAAAACTATAAGATGATTATCGATTCATATATATAAATTCATAAAAAAAAACTAATTTTGAATTTTACATATTACATTAAGGGATCAAGAAAATAATGAAGTTTGTTAGTATTACATTGAGGGATTAGAAAGGAGGAAGGGGAATAATGAGAATTAAACTCACAATAATTGTGTGGTTGATTTCAATTAATACAACTAGACAATAACATATTTTTAAATTTATCTGTATCAGGTATTTATATAAAGTTGCACTAAATCAGCATAAGTGATTTAACAAGGTAATAATTTGTATATGTTGTTGTAATTAATTGAAAAAGATATACGTGTAAACACATAATATATATTTATTAATTTGATATAAACACCATGAGAAAATTACTATTCGATCAAAGGTGGACCTGCACCTATAAGTGAAACCGCACATGCATGCATTAATTTCGAAAAAATCATATATATATATATATATATATACATATTTATCTTGAAAAATTGATAAAAACTAGTATATTGTGTATATATTTAATGTGTATATATAGAATAGTGCAACTATTATATTATATATGTGTGTTTATAGTATATATTATAAGTAGTAAAATTTAAGGAATCCCATAGTGTAATTGAATAATTTCATTCTGTCCCGACAAATTTAGTATTTACAAAAAATCCCTTAAATTTGTTGAGCCGTGATACTTTAGACTCTAGTGATACATGGTAAATGATACATGGTAATTTTAAACTGTTGAGAAAAAAAGGGAAAAAAATGGTACAGTTAATGTTGTTAATAAAACAGCGAAATTTACGGTAACATATCATTAATCAACATAAAATCAGCACTTAATTGGATATTAATTTCAAATTTTGAAAAACAAAGATTATATCATCTATTTTGAAAACAATTTTTTTGAACAATCTGTTAAATTTCGAACTACAGTAATTTTATTGTTGTTATAGTGGATTTTTCAAGATGAATACTTCGATTTTGATGAGACATTCCGGAATTTGGGTGAACGAATTGCAGAATGAAAG